CTTTTGGCGATAAAGCCCCATCCTTTGCCACTGTGAAACGCTGGTATAACGAATTTAATCGTGGTCGCCGATGAAAGTCGTGAAGGTCGTTCAAAATCAGTTGTTGTGTCAGAAAACATTGATACTGTGCAAAAACTAATAATGCAAGATCGTCATGTGACATACTGTGAGATTGAGACAACCTTGGGCATTAGTTCCACCAGCATATATGAAATATTGCATAATCATTTAGCCGTGAAAAAGGTTTGTTCTCGTTGGATCCCACATAATCTGACAAAATCTCAAAAAGATGCTCGTGTCAATTAAGTTGTTCGCGCTCGAAGCACTTCGAAACAAATGGTCGCCTGTTTTTTCGGAAAAACTGGTCATGTGGCAACAGTGCCTTTAGAGGAACGTAGAACGTCAATTCTGAATGGTACACAACCATTTGTTTGCCGGAAGTCTTCAGTGAAATAAGGAAAACAAACAAACGCCGCCGGATCATTCTTCATCAAGACGATGCCATATGTCACACATCTCGTCTAACAACCGACTATTTGAGCACTCAAAAAATTGAATTAATGGGTCATCCGCCGTACAGTTCTGATTTGGCACCAAATGACTTCTTTTTGTTCCCGAACGTCAAGAATAAATTGCGTGGACAACGATTTTCGTCGGCAGAAGAAGCCGTTGATGCGTTCAAAGACCATATTTTGGAGGTGTCTCAAGCGGAATGGAAAAAATGCTTTGACAAGTGGTTCGAACGCATGCAAAAGTGTATGGATCATAAAGGAGAATATTTTGAAAAACAATAAATGACAAATTATTGTTTTTTTATTATTATTTGTATTATTAGGCTCAAAATATAAATAGTGACCCTCGTATAAGCGATTTAGCAGGTAGCCGTCTGACTGTTTGCTACTAATAGGGTAGAGATCCGTGCAACGCACGGAGATGTTTATTTTCGAAGAGCCCTAAACATTCAAAGGAAACAGAATGTTTTACATACACAATAAAGGAGATCTATTTTATAGACCAGAAATAGCAAATTATATTAACAACTTTACTGTGTACAAAAAAATATATATTAATAGTACCGAAACTTTAAACGCGTTTTTCTTGAAATCATGTTTTTCAAGTCCATTAACTTTATAACTCTTAAAAACTAATAATAGGATTGTCTTTATCTTATGGATAATTCGAAATAATGAATCTGTTATACCTTCTGTGTAAACCTATATAAATAACAAAATAATAATAAACTTCTTTTTTTACTAAAAAGTATGTCTAAAGAATGATAAAAAATCTAATCTTTTTTTCAAACAAGTTTTAAAAACTATTGTAATTTTTTACCCAGAGAGAGATTCCTACAGAAAAGGCATCAATAACATGATAATAAAACTTTTTTTTTGGAAATTTACATATTGTGGTCGTTTTGTCGAAAGGAGACCCCGCTACGGTGATCATGACTTTGATACGTATTATCAAGGTCATGATTCTGAGCATAACTTACAACGAATTTTACCCGCATATTATGAATGGTTAAAAAGTTATTAACAACGAATATTATAAATAGCGTCCTGTTTCTACTACGTACGATGTTAATAACTATTCCCTCCTTATATAATGACTTTCCATGCGAAACGAGGTCCATGTCTCCCCCCTGCCCACGGATATCTGACTTTCCGCGTGAAACGAGCCTAAGTAGCACACATCGCTTACAAAGCGTTAATAAAATGTTAAAAAGTGCATACAATAGCTTTTTAGCGTTTTGCAAGCGTTATTGTGCTACTTGGGAGATCTATCCCCACTTAAAAGGTAATTAGTTACCGTTACAGGTTATTAATTCTGAAAAATAACTCGTTATAATTACAGTTACTGAAAAAATAACTTTTAGTTATAAAGATTATGCATTTCGCGGGTTTTCTCTGTGTCCAGATCCATTCTTGGAATGCCAACGTTTCGTGAACCTTGCAGTCCACTTCATCTGGGCGAGGAGCGACCTGATACTGAACTGCTCCTTCAGCTTCCAGGCCGTTCCTTTTATATTACGCTGCTTGTT